GAGAGCATTTGAGGCCAGCATGGACAGAGACAGCGCCTCTTCACCCGCCGGTGCCGATCCCGCCTTCTCCATCACGCCGCCACCACTTCCCGAGTTCTCAGCAAGGTCCATGGACGCCATCGTGGCTGGCGAGGAGCCTTCCGGTAGCTTTGACCGGGCTGGCACTCTTCCGGTTCCTGGTTCGGACGGCAGCATGGCTGGCCGTGCCAGCTTCGACGTGAACGCTGGTGCACCGCGCCGGTCCATTACTGCTCTTGGGCGTGATCTGGGCCGAGAGATGGTGCGTGAGGAGGGAGAAAGCAATCGCGATCATGCAGCGAGGATCATCCAGAAGCTAGATCTTCACCGAAAAGCGACCTTTGGTGCGGGTGCCGAAGCTGCGGGGGCTGCTGGCGGTGCGCCCGGCGCTGGCGGCATCGCGGGCTTGATAGCAAGTCACGGCCATCTTCCCGGATACCCTTCTCCCCCACAAGCTGGGTCGAAGAACTCATCCACTTCAAGATTACCTGCCCTGGACCCAGTTCAGGGAACTTTGGCTCCTTTAACGCTGGCAAGGCCACCCGCAGCAACAAACCTCAGCCGAACGGCTGTGATGCTTTCAGTCGACAGAAGTATCGGGTCGGACACTACGAGCCACATGCCTACTTCGGTTCTCGCCAACTACTGGGGAAGTAGCCCTTGGAGCACTGTCTACGGGCCAGGCCCAGGCCGTCCTCGCACCCCTGGCCTGCTGGAAGAAAATCCATTCGGAATAGTAGTCCGAGAGGTGGGCAAGCCTGGTGAAGAGAAACCTCCAACCCCTACCACCGGCCACAGGAAGACTGTCAGTGTCGACGCAAAACCCAGCCAAGCCCACACTCCATTCAGGCAGCCCGTGGAGACCTTTGTCCCAGGATACCCCCCAGAGTTAAGAATCCAGCATCTCCAATTCCGGATTCTGTTCCCGAATGCTCCTCTGGACGAGAAGCTTGTCCTCGTTTTCCGTGCCGCTTGGTCGAGCTCGACAGGCAAGGACTCACCTTCTCACGGCCAGGGGCTGGCGGGCAACGGCCGTATCTATATCACTCCGGACAACATGTACTTTTATGGACAACAAATGGGCCTCGTAGTTGCATATGCCATCAGTCTCGACATAATAGCCGAGGTCACAGCTGCGCCCGGTAAGGAATGCGACTTCATTTTCCTCCACCTCGGTGAGGATGGCAATGAGACGGGCTACACTAGAATCACCATCAAGATTTTCCTGGACAATCTCCAGCTCCTTCATGCGAGAATGAACCTTCTCATCGACGACCTACAATCTGAGGAGCCAATGGAGTTGCCAGAGCTCATCCGGGCACTCATCAATCTGGAATACGAGGACTACAGCAAACGTAGCCCAAGTATTGAAAGCTGGGAAGAGGTCTCGTCAAATACGCCGTTCGATGACGGCACGCATTCCGGGCGTCCGGCTAGGCGCCAGAGCCAGTTTGGACCAAGACTCCGCTTAGCAGGGCCTGGTTCGAGGCAGACCCCCAAAGTGCAGGTACCCGCTCATCCTGTCATTTTTGAACCCGAAGACATGCAGAGAATGGTTGCGGAGCGGCACTTTGAGATTAGTGCCAAGGCCTGTTTCCATGTGCTCTTTGGCGACAAGAGCTTCGTCTTCCCCAAGCTCTACTTTGAGCGGAGAGCTCAACAGATTGCCCAAGGGCCCTGGGCGCTCGCAGATCATGGCCGGATGAGGCGTGAGTTCCAGTTCAAATTCGACTACAAGGATATGATCGGTCGACCCAAGACCGTGGACGTTGTCGACTACCAGACTATGGATGTCTTCCAAGAGCACGTGACGTATGTTGTGACACACACCAAGACGGCATGGCATCTTCCCCATTCTCAAGACTTCAAATTGGTGACCAAGGTTGTCATCACCCACGTGGCCAAGTCAAAGTGTAAGTTGGCCATCTACACAAAGGTAGAATGGTCCAAGATACCCACGTTTTCGAAGAACTTGGTCGAGCGGCAGGCCCTGAACGACGCCGAGGGCGATGCGGAAGAGCTTGCAGACGTCGCGACGGACCAGGTGCGCAAGCTTGGCCCACACAGCCGAACAAAGAGGGCGATCCAGGTGTACGGAAACATTGGGCAACAGACGCAAGTCGTTGTCTTTTCCCCGGCCGACGCGGCTGCGTCAAAGAAGCAGCTCATCAAGCCGCGGACACTGACAGCCATGCTCCTGGAAACGCTGCGCTCCTTTGGCGAGAGTGCGGTGACGTCGCTCATCATGTGGGCCATCGCCGTGGTGAAGACTTTCTTTAGCGTGGTCACGGCTCATAGACTCATCCTTCTTGTCCTGGCCGTCAGCGCGTTCACGAACATTGCCTTGACCTCCAAAGAAAGCTCGACCTGGTGGACGGAGAGGCGAGCAGCCAAGTTTATGACCCGGCTCGGTGTCGGCCCGAACGTGGTAATGAGCAAGGCCATCTACATGGCGGATTTGGGCGAGGCAACGGGTGCGGTTGGCCATAACAACAGTTGGCCTACCGACAGTGCCTGGTAAGTAAATCTTGAATGGCAGTTTGGGGTTCAGAGATACGATGGCTAACATGATATCACAGCTTCACTACATTCCAACTTGTTGCCAACGCCACCGACCTGGACAGCCCCCACGAAGACGCCGGGTCGACGCTATCATCAGCGACGAGCCGAGCGACCGCGCGCCGGCTGCGCCGGACCCGACAGCGTCTCGGATCGTATCGGCACGATCTCCTCGTCGCGATGCGCATCGTCAACAGCATCGAGCGGGAGATGGTGCAGTCAGAGTGGGAGAATTGGCTCTCTGACGAGACGATGCGTTGCGAGAAGCTCAAGACTGTGTTGGAGGAGGATGGCGGTTCTGCTAAGAGTAAGCGCGGCGGTGGTGGCAGTGGCCAGAAGGTCTTGACGTCGAGTATTGACGAAGGCAAGAAGGAGGCGCTGCGGGAGTGGTACGATACATATTGCGGGAGCTGTAAGTTGGATCACCAGGCGTTAATGAGTGAGCGAAGCTCTTTGGCGGGGTTGTAGAGGAGTTTGTTGGGTCTCCTTGTGTTGCATTGCGTAATATCACTTTGCCGTGCTTTTGAACAGCGTATTGAGGCTTGTAGAGCCTTACAGTCTATTGTTCTGTTTTCCTCCGAGATGGAGGGTAATCTTTGAACACGTTCGATGATGATTTTATGCTTCAACTTGTCTCTGCTTGATGGATTCATTACTTCACCACTGGTTGGGGGGTGATGAGATGAACATGCGCTTCTCTTATTATGAATGATGCACTCTGCTCAAGACGCATCCAAGGGCAGCATGAAGGGCAAAGAAGCGAGGTATTTAACTCTATTGCAACACTATTGATGGAGGCAGACAGAGGTTCTGTTGTAGATTCAATACCTACCTAATGTACCGGGACAGAAGGGGAAAAGCGATCACGATTAACAATGTTCACCAAGGTCAGGCCGTGAAGTTGTTCATAATGGCGATTTCAGCCTCATTAGTTACAATTCAATATCCGTAAAGGTTGCTAGTTTACTGCTAGAGTATTGGCGTTGATGGCCTAAAGACATGGCCTGATTTCCTTTTTGGGGACTCTATCGCGATGTAAGGCTGCAATCGTAGATCGATATTGACCGGGAAGTTCGGTCAAACTGTCTGGCGGGCTAGTATTAGTGTTTGATGAAGAGAGAGTCGGCCGACGAGGAAGCCGGGTCCGGACCTTTGAGGTCATGTCTCGGGAATCTCGGCGTGGTGTTTTCCCACCTTTGATGTAATTGTGTACAACCAGTATGATGGTACTTGGACATTTAGGCTGTACGCCCTACCCTTAGCACCTTGGGGTAAGGTAGATCATGACGATGTAAACCTATGTGGTTGACGTCGATGCACACCATACGTAGTAAGTAGACAGGGCTTGGTATCACATCTTACCCCAAATCACTTCTTTTGCTCTCCGGCAAGGTGTTCCGGCAAGGGAGAAAGACCTCACGTGTCCAGTCGCCATCAGAATCCCTGTAAACCGTTGGAAAGTCATCCTGGCCGCGTTTGCCTTACGGGTAGGGCGATGGCGACGGGAGAAAGCAAGGAAAAACCTGATGTGCCGCATTCCCCTCGAAGAAGCCCGCATTCAACAGTGTGGCTTGTGGCAGGCGGCCTTGGACGACGTAGGCCGGTGGTCAGAAGTTCCAGAACGAGGTCTCTGATCCGCGCCTCTCCTCCCTTCAGCCCCACCTTCCCCTCGATATCTGTCCCTAATCTAAGAATAAAAAAAGACAGAATGGATAAAAGACTGGAGCATGAAAAGGGGGAAAGGAGCCGCATTTCCCCCCTCGTTACAATGGGTGAATTGTCGCTCCTTCGTCACGGCTTTGCGAGGGTCGAATGAGAGGAATCCGAGGGCACGGAGGTCGAGCCCAGAATACGCGGATTCTAGACGATCTCTAGCGCTGTGGGATCCACTTGATCCTCTTTCTGGGAGACTGACCACCAATTGTGACGTCGAGACGGAGGGGGGGGGGGGGCAACGGGGGCCTCCCCTCCCCACCTTCTCTTTGAGGCCCTGAGGGGATCGCACCTTCTCGTACTGCGTACTGTTCGTATGTGTACATGGACAGGGGGTGACGTCAGCGCCAGGGTCGAGCCAATGCGAGAAGCGCGGTGAAGGGAAAGAAAGCAAACACAACAGCAGGAGCAAGAAATGGCTGCCCGGCCCTTTCCATTTAGGTGCCTTTACCGTGCTTACCTTGTGTTACTTCGTCATTGGGGCAGAATCCGAGGCAAGATGAGATACGTATCCGTGGTGTATTAGATGCCTCTTCCCAAGGAGACGGAAGGAGTGTTGCACCGGACGCAAAGGACAAGGGCGCATTGAACATGATGGAACATGGTCAACCATAACGCACCTTACAAAATAGTACACAGTAGGTAAGGTAGAGAGAGAGAGAGGACGGGAGCATTAGGTCCGCTCGGGTCGGCCAGAGACGTCAAAGCCCCTCCAAGACTCCCAACCAACTGAGTCCTGACACCCCGGCAAGGCCCATGATCGGTGATCCCATTCCCGTTGACGCTATCCATACTCCATACTTCACACGCCGTACTTCGTGCATGCACCTTTATTCCAGCAATTACCAAGTAACTGTGGCTTACCCAGTACCTTATTCTCTTCCCAACCTGCCTTCTTCCTCCTTGACTCTTTACTCTTAAGCCACACGTGGGGCACTCTTTGCAGGTCATCCAAAGCTTTATTTCGTCTCCATTTCTGCACAGTAATCGACCACTTGCCACCACTCTCATCCACAAACCACCAAACAGCATCTACCTTGCTTCCCCACGAACACTCCTTTTTCCCAGCGCCTCGGTCGCGTCCGGACCCCGACGATAACCATACACTGTACGAATCTCGCTACCTTTTGACATTTGAAAATCTCCGTCCGTGATTCCCCTTCACCGACACCACCGGCTAGTCTCTACACTACTCGCTTTCGTCGGACGACCTGGGCTATGACATCTTATTAAACACGACACATTTCCGTTTCGCCCTCGACGCCAACCGCCACCCTTAGACACAATGGCACCTCACCACGAGCCCTTCAAAGGCCTCGCGCCTATCAAGTGGGAATCTGTCGCCGAGGAGGATCCAAAAGAGTTCATGACCGGCGTATTTGCCAACGCTCAAACAGTCATCGACTCCATCCCCGTCCCCGCCGCCGTCAAGCAAGCCACTGCTTCCCACGGCCGATCCCGCTCCCACACTGACCCCCCGATACCTGTCGCCGACATCAACCGTTCACTCTCCCAGCGACAGACCGGTGCCGCGCTGAAGCTGTCGCAGGACCTGTCCAAAGAGTGGAAAGAGGTCAAGGTCAATGCCAAGGATAACCCGCTAGCAATCAACGTGTATAAGCTCGCCGCCAAGGACGGCAAGGGTAGCTGGTTCGCCCGGCGCAGCGTTCACGATGGTTTGACTTTTGAGAAGTGGAAGCTGGGCCTCGAGAGAGAATTTGCCGAGTCCATGAAGGTGCAGAGCGGGCCCGGCGCCGGCGCCATCCGCGGCATTGGAGCAGAGAAGCGGGCGGCACATGAGGTTGTGGAAGGCTCTGGAAAAATGGAAGGTGAGCAAGGAAAACACCACTTGAGACTTCAGTGCCAAATGCTTACAACATCTGCCCAGTATTCCAATTATCGGCGCAATTCCCAGGCCCGACGGCTCCGAGAGACTTTGTGACGTTACTGCTGAGTTCCGACTTTTCCGGCGGCGCCCCGCAAGAAGGTGCTAGGCGGCCGCTCCGGACCTACATGATTGTGTCGAAACCATGCATTCATCCCGAGTGCCCCGAGCGGCCAGGCTATATTCGAGGCCAATACGAGTCGGTCGAAATCATTCGCGAGATCCCGTCCGATAAGCCGGCTGCGATCACGCGAGCACGATCCTCGATTGATCTCAGTCAGGAAGGCGCCAAAGAAAGACAAGCTGTAGCTGAGTCTATGGGCAAGGAGGCTGTTCTACGGGCAGCGAAAAAGGCAGCAGATCCAGACGGCCGTCATCGAGGTACATCTGTTGACAGTGCACCTGCCAGAGACGACGCTGGGCACACCGGCGAAGGCATCGAGGAGGAAGCGACGACGTCTGTTGAGTGGCTTATGGTTACTCGTAGTGATCCCGGCGGCAACGTGCCCCGATTCTTAATTGATCGAGGTACACCGGCAGGCATTATTGGAGACGCCGGCAAGTTCCTCAAGTGGATGACTGCGAAGTCCGCAGATGACTTTTCAACGTCAGATAAAGAGCAGGAGGAGACGAAAGAAGGCGCTAAGCAGGCCGAGAGCGAAAAGGTCGCTTCCCCAATGGAGGTGGCCAAGCAACCAACATCGAATTTGTTACCTGAAGAGTCGGCACAGGTGCAGGATAACTCCGTCCCGAGTAGTAACGGCTTGTACGGCATCATATCCGGTGCTTTCGGAATGGCTAGCTCTGTTGTGGCTAGTCGCCTACCAGAGGGCTACGCTTTACCTGGAATATTCACTGCACCAAGTACCAACGGGTCGATAGCGGAGGAAGATGAAGAGGATGAGTCGGTGGAAAGCGACACGTCGTCCATCCGAAGCTTCGCTTCAGCAGTCGAGAAGACGGACGAGGGTGAGCCCATCACGCCACCAGAGGTTACGCAGCCTGACAGCGTGTCGCTTCACTCGTCCGGATCCGGCGGCGGCGCGTCCCTCCAAGGGTCCAAGACGTCGTCGCACCACGAGAGGGAGCTCAGGAAACTCCAGGAGCGGCGCCAAAAGATGCAAGACAAGATCAACAAGATGCAAGAGCGCATGTCTAGCAAGCGTGACCAAGACTCGCAAAAGGAGGCCGCCAACCTAGCGAAGCTCCGCGAGAAGCACGAAAAGGAGATGGCCAAGCAGGAGGACAAGTACAAGCGCGACATGCAGCGCCTCGAGCAGCGCCGCGAGCACGAACAGCGCAAGGCTGAGGAGAAGCGGCGGAAGCAAGCAGAAAAGGAGGAGAAGTCAAATTTGGCCTTGGAGCTCGAGCGCGTCAAGGCGGAGCGGGATGTGGCGCTCAAGGAGATTGACGTCCTCAAGGAGCAGGTGGGTCAGCTGCAGAGCCAGAATACCATGCTGGTTGTTAAGATGGGCAAGATGGGCGGGATGGGCGGTATGAAGAGACAGGACTCGTCGTTGAGCGTATCGGGAGAAAAGGCGGTTCAGACCGTGTCCAACTAGGGGCCATGTAAAGTGTACGACGACGACAGAGAGACAGAGGGAAGGAAGACATGTCAGCTGCAGGACAGGATACCCAGCTTGATGCAGACAGAGAGATCTCTGTAGAGGAGATGAGATGACGCATGAGCATCCAATGGCGTTCGGGGCGTATTAGCCTTCCTTTTATAGCATTTTTTTTTTTTTACTTCATCTTTTTTTCCCTGTCTATTTTCCATGTCTATCTCCGTGTACCTTTTCCAAAGCATTTGTACACGAAGCATCTAAATGAACTGAAACTTTTCTCATCCGAGCATGCTTTTGTCCTTTGCATCATCCAACCGGTCCATTGTCTATGATTATCTCACGGTTCGTCGACTTCATGCATCCATCATTTCCAACAATAACCCATGAAGTCTCCCCCGCTGACCAACGTCCCTCAACTTTTCCAACTTCTCCTTGAGCACCTCGGACCCATCGACGCCGCCGCCGACGACATTGACCTTGGTGAGCGCCGCCGCGGTGAGGAGGACGCGCGCGCAGACCGCGTAGACGTCTGGGTCCGAAGTCCAGCCCAGCGGTCCGTCGTCTGCGTGGGATGATTGGGATGCGAGGGCCAGGAGGGCGTCCAGGCCGGCGGATGTCCATGTTGTCAGGGCCGCGCGCGCCGCTGACGCAGATGAAGACGTCAAAGTAGAGGAGAAGACGTCTTGGAAGGCGGTGGCCCAGCGCTTCGATTCGCGGACCTCGTCGATGAAGAGGTTCTGCTCTTCGATTGCGAAGAGGGAGTCGTCGAAACGGAGGGCGGAGGAGAGTTGTGATTCTGCGGTGGACCATTGGGTGGCGGCGGTGGTCTCTGTGTCGTCGGTTCCATCTGAGGAGACCTGGCCCGTGAGGCGGGATGCGAGGAGGGCGTGGAGGGCGGGGCTGTCGCGGTGGGTGGTTGCGATGTAGGATAGCAGCGAGGAGGCGGCGTCGAGGGGCGCGAGGGGCGCGGAGAGGATGTGTTTTGCGGAGAGGGAGGCGAGGTCGCGGACTTCGTCGTCGTCGTCGTTGAGGGCGTCGTAGAGGGCTATGAGGGCGGGGAGGAGGGGTGCTTCTGCCTCTGCCCCTGCTGTTTGGTGTTGGCATGCGGCGGTTGAAGAGGTCGAGGTTGTTGCGCAGAAGAAGGAGGCGAGGGAGGCCGCTGCGGCGATGCGGGTGTCAAAGGGGCGGGAGTCGTGGAGGGCCGAGGACATTAGGCTGCCCCAGCCACGGAGGGAGTGCGCAGTGGATGGGGTGGCGGGGGATTGGGAGACGAGGGATGCCATGATGGGGCCGCTGGCGCGGGTGATTGCGTTGGAGAGGTTCGGGTTGATTGTTCTCGCGAGGAGGTCTTGCCAGAGCTGTGTTAAGGTCTCGGAGGAGGGTAGGAGGTTTGAGGGTTGTTGAGAGCTGGCATCAGCATCGGCATCGGCATCGCGGGAGGTTGCTGCCAGGACTAGGTCGAGGACCTCTGCGAGGTTGACGAGGGCGGCGGCGCAGGAGTCTGGGTGCGTTGCGGAGCGGGCCACGTCGGTGTACAGCGCGGCGTAGGATGCTGCTTCCGCGGGGGACAGGCGCGGGTGGTGGACTGAGGCGAGGGTTTCAAGGGTTGTGATTGTTGTCTCTACGCTTGTTGTGCCTGTCGAGAGGAGGGTCTCGCGGAGGGAGGCGGAGGGGGAGGAGGAGGTTTGGGCAGCGTGGACTGCTGCGATTGCGAGTTGGGTGCGGAGGAGGGCGCTATGTGGGGATTGTGAGATGGTGGAGGAGGCAGCGCCCTGTGATGACGGTGATGATGACGACGGGTAAGATAGGGCGAAGAGGGAGATGAGATTTTGGACTTCCAGGTAAGCGGCGCGGATGTCTGGGCAGGAGGCGAAGGAGTCAGACGCGCTGGCTTCGAGACTGCTGAGGATCGAGACCACCCGCGGGAGGCCAGACGACAGTCTCTGAGGCGAGACGTCGGAAAGCCGCTCAAAGACCGCCTTGACGGTCAGCAGGCCGCCATGGAGGTGATTGTTCCTGCTCGCAGGCACCGCGGCGAGGGAGTCCTTGATGATGGCCGCGGCAAGGCTGACCCAATCGTCGTCCTTGAGGAGGAAAGAGCACAGAGCGCGGGCGGCCATCTCCCGGACGTGCCAGACGGGGCTGGCGAGGTAGCCCGCGACGAGACCGTACAGCTCGTCGCGCGAGGCGTCGGGGGGTCCGGCGCGGCGGATGATGTCGAGGGCGGGGAAGACGGACTCGGCGGCGATGGTGCTTCCCAGCGTCGTGGGTTTCATGACCTCGCGGCCGGAACGGAGGAGGTTCAAGAGCACGGAGGGTAAGATCGGGAACTTATGGTACTGCAGGCGGGTTGTGCGGCCGTCCCAACCGGCCTCGAGGGTGGCTTTACTCTCGTTTGTGCCAAAGAGGTTGTCGAGGAGGGAGCGGAGGAAGAGGAGGCCGCAGTTGCGAATACCCCAGACCTCGGACTTTAGGCTGCCAGCGGCGAGGTCGAGGCACTGCGGGATATGCGGCGCCGACTTGCCGAGCTGTGTGATGAAGGAGCTCTTGAACATGTCCTTGAGGCAGTTGAGGGCGTGGACCTGGGGCAGCTTGGAGCCGTCCGACTCGGAGTTGAAGGCTGGCTTGCGGGCGATGGCGACGAGCTCCTCGATGACGACGTCGAAGGAGGGCTGCGGCGCGTTGGCCGAGACGATGCCGGTGATCATGGCGGGGATACCGGCGGAGCGGCGGGTGGTGGACGCTTGGGAGAAGATGCACTCCTTGGTTCCTCTGTACCAGACGTCGAGCAGGGTCTCGCCGTTCTCGTGGCCTGCTTGAGGGTCGTCGAGGTGCTTGACCAGCTGGCAGCAGGTTGCGAACGACAGCGAGACAGTGTTGAAGGCGCCGCGGTGTCTGAGGCTCGACAGCTGATCAAAGGTCAAGGATCCGACGGTTGTGAAGAGGTCGGTCGAGGGGCGCAGAATTCCTTCCTTGGCCTTGGACTTGAGAGGCAGGACCATGACACGCATTAGAGCACTGAGTAACATGTTAGACGAGATATCTACACAGCGTTATGGGGACTCTCATTACTCACCTGGACTCGTGGATGGCGCGGAAGCTGTAGCTCAGCAGGTCCTTGGTGTCGAGACCCTCGAGGTCTTCCAGCTCCTGGGGCAAGTGGCCCTCGGGTGAGTCGTCGCACAGAATGTCTCTGACCGCAGCCCAGATGCGTTGACAGCACTTGACAATGCGGTTCTGGAGAGTAGCCATTGCTTCCATCTCGGACGCCGAAAAGCTCATGTCAGCCGCAGCTTGCCAGATATACCTAATCCTCGGTCAGTCCACGGCCTCTTTTGAAGGAGTCATAGTATTTGTTGCACCCACCGGAGAGAAGCAAAGTAACCATGTACCGGAGCCTCAAGAACAGCATTGCCCAGATCGGCCTCTGCAAAGGCGAGCTTGTCCTCAAGAAGATCCATCAACTTTGAAATATGCGCAATCTGCGCCTCCCTACCGTCGTAGAATCTAAAGAGAAGCTCATTTGTCCGAGCCACGCCATCAGCGTGATCAGCTCGCGCCGTCCTCCGCGCAATATCCTCGGCTCTCGACAAGAACTCTTCCAGTGTTGACGAGACCCCCTGCGCGCCAACGAGACACTTGAAGCGCTTGTCGGCGAACAGGTTCTTGAGGACAGACGTACCGTTCTCCCGAACGTCGTCGAATGGGTCCATAATGAGGTCGAGGAGCGCGCGCGTCCACTTCCCGTCAAATAGGTTGAAGAAGAGGGCCTCGTCCTCCTCCGTCTCCCATGTCTTGCCAGCATCGGCTTCGAGCTTGAGGATGAAGGCAACGGCCCTAAGCGCGGTAAAGTGCCGCTGGAAAGAAGCCGTTGGGATCAACTCGGACCGCAAAAATGCAATGTACCACGCCAAAAAGCTTTCGTGCTGCTCCAAACTCACTCGCAGCTTATCCTCTGGCCAGAGCAAGATGTTGGTGCGGTGGTTCGCTTGCTTCGGCGGCGCCTTAGGGGCCTTTGGCGCACCGTTGGCAGCGCCGTCAAAGGCTTTGAGACGGACCAGACTCTTATGCAGGATGAAGATTGCGCCTCTGCTGCGCTTGAACATATCTTTGAGCTTGCTCAGCAGTTCCATGCGGAACTTTGCGTCCGACTCTGAAAAGTACGTCGGGAGATGGGCTTGCAGCAGGCGAAGGGCCACTGGTGAATAGGGCCTCGTCGTTGAAGGTGAGGCGACTATGAGGGACAACGCCAGCGAGCGGAGCTCATGGGAAGGATGTGACAGAACCCTCTCAAGCACGGCCTCTTCCAAGACTACTGCTGAAGAGGATTCCTCTCTGTAAATGGCTCCGGGCTCCTCGACCATGCCTACCTTCTTGCCAACCTCCAGCACGGCGAGATTCAGCTGGGCCAAAGTGTCTAGCTCAGCCACGGCCGAGCCAGAGGTAGACCACATGCTGTTGATCTGTTCCAGGATCTGGACCGAGTCTTTGCGGTCATCCTTGAATAACGGAAGGAAAACATACGTCTTGATACCCTCAAGCAGAGACGGCGTCTTGGCAATGGCAGCCTGCACCCAGCGAAGCCACATTTCAACGCTGAACTGTTCAGCGCCTGCAGCCTGCGGTGTCTTTAAAGACTGCTGTCTCAGCGCCCTGAAGATTGTCACGATGAACTTGCCCGTAGTCGGACACACGTAGTGCATGGTCATCCAGTCGAGCATCTGACCGAAAAAGTCCTCCCACAGTGCAATGTCAGACGCCCAGCTGCACTCGGGCTGCGTCCGCCTGTAGCTCGCCGCGATGTCTTCGACGCTGAAGACGGACTTGCCGGCAAAGTAGTCCATGGCCTTGAGCGACGACTTGACCAGAGGCTTGGTGGACTGCGGCCCAATGATGGAGATGAGGGTGTCCAAGATGGTCGTCTTGACTAGGTCAGAAACGGCCTGATCGGGGTTGCGGCGAATGAGCGAGGGAAGCAGGTCCAGGACCAGCTTCATGGACCGGTGCTGCTCCGTCTCATTCCACTTGATGAAGAAGTTGAAGAGACCTAGGCTGGGCTCTTTGGAAAAGGCCCATTGCCGCAGGGCTGGCTTGTCGGACTTTGAGCTTTGCTCTACAAATCCGCAGAGCTTCACGCATGAGTTGCCCGAGACTCCCTTTGGCTGAGCGGCCAGGGAGAGGAGGTGGTCAAAAACATTTTGCGCGATGCTATTGGCAAAAATGATGTTAACACACGTACTACGCTTGGAACGTTCACTTTGGAGGGGTAGTGACTGGGGGAAATGTCTTACGAGATCCACGATTCCTCGGGCTGTTCCTCAACCCATTTGAGCAAGTCACTCGGGTTGACGAAGCTCTCGTACTGGGGGACGGTATCCTGCTTCATCGCTATCTCATAATTGGTGAACCCGGCGAGTGACTCTTGGAAGTAGAATGAGGGGCACCGAGGGGCAGCGGCGAAGCGGATGAGTGCTGGCCGAGTGAGTAACAGGGGTGTGTTTTTTCCTTTCGTATGTCGTCTACAAGTCGGCGTGTAAGTATCAGAAATGGGTGCACTCAAATTTCCAATTTGCTCCAGATCTTACATAAGGATCTCCGATTTGGGAAGGCCTCGTCGGTTAAGGTACTTTGTATCGGATATGGACAAAATGTACCTGAGGTACCACGAGTTTTCACAGCATTAACTCGGCGCGCCGGCGAAGACTCATCGCGGGGCACCAAAACGCCAGGGTCCCGACTGACTTTTTTTTTTTTTTTTTTTTGCGCTCCCGCCTCCCAGTGACATTCAGCCAATCGCCTGCATCTTCTGGAACGTCACGCGCACGGTCCACTCCACCCACACACGGTGGTGTGGCCAAACTTTTTCCCTGCCCTAATTGAAAAAGAATAAGGCGCCCCGCCGAAATTTGTCCCCGGCTGCTTTTCTTTCCCCTTCAACCCCATCATCATCCAACATCTACCGTAAGCACCAGATTACTGGGAGATATCGCCAAGATGTCGAAAATTACGGTTGCCAACGTCCGCACTCAGGTCTCTGAGCTGCTCGAGTACTCTCTCGAGACCAAGAAGCGCAACTTCCTTGTCAGTCTACCCACCTCCGTCGTTCAATTGAGCGCAAAGTCCGCGACCGAAGCGAAGCAAGAAAGCAAAAGCTAATACCCCTCACAGGAGTCTGTCGAGCTTCAGATCGGCCTCAAGAACTATGACCCCCAGCGTGACAAGCGTTTCTCCGGCACCGTCCGCCTCCCGGTCGTCCCCCGCCCCAACATGAGCATCTGCATTCTTGGTGACCAGCACGATATCGATCGTGCCAAGCACGGTGGTGTTGACGCCATGTCCGCCGACGACTTGAAGAAGCTCAACAAGAACAAGAAGCTCATCAAGAAACTCGCTCGCAAGTACGACGCCTTCGTCGCTTCCGAGACCTTGATCAAGCAGATCCCCTCGCTCGCAAGTACGACGCCTTCGTCGCTTCCGAGACCTTGATCAAGCAGATCCCCCGTCTCTTGGGTCCCGGTCTGTCCAAGGGTATGTTCCATCACTCCCCTGCACCTCTCTTCGAAAAACCGTTCCTGACAACCTCGCAGCCGGCAAGTTCCCCACCCCCGTCTCCCACGCCGACGATCTCTCTGGCAAGATCACCGAGGTCAAGTCCACCATCAAGTTCCAGCTGAAGAAGGTTCTCTGCATGGGTGTCGCCGTCGGCAACGTCGGCATGACCCAGGAGCAGCTGATCGCCAACATCATGTTGGCCATCAACTACCTCGTCTCCCTGCTGAAGAAGGGCTGGCAGAACGTTGGAAGCTTGACCATCAAGGCTTCCATGTCTCCCCCCAAGCGCCTCTACTAAGCGCGCCCTCTTCTCGTCGTGTTGGTGTTTCTGGCGAGGGGCCTGTGCTCGGTAGAGTACCGCCAGGGTTAGTTGTGTCGATGGCTTAAGTGCTTGTTCGCATAACGGTTCACTCAAGGGTGGGAATACACCTATCACGGGTATTTCATAGGAAGCTCTGCGCATGGATTAGGAGCCTGGCAATACAAAATCATCCTTTTCCAGACCATCACGCAAGTCTCAATCTGCATCAGTGAAATGTGACATTTTTCAAGAATAAGTGCTTGATAACAAGGGGTTGCCAAGCCCCGGTCTAGGCCTGATTGTTAGAAAAGCCTTGCCATGTATGTGATCCCTTTGCACAGAGGGCTCCCTATCATATAGCTACACGATAAGTCCTTCCCATCCTCCCTCACACTCAACGCTCAGAGTGTCGTATCGGGGAAGCGCCAAATTATACTGTCTCATAATGATAGTGAAGGCGAAGAGTGCTTGAATACCGCGTTGCCAAGCCTTGTCCTACGCCTGGTAATTCATAGCGTTGAAAATAGCAAAGAATGTCTTTCGTCGCTAGAGATCCGATGGGCGGGTAACCGTCAAGTCATCGATGATACCCCAAATCAAGGAGCCGAGAAACAGCGTATACCGTAGATTTAAACGAGAACCCCCATTATTTCGCTAAACTCATCAGTCGGCTCAACAATTGCAGCCGCGCGTTTGGCAGCCCTGTCAGCCTCGTTATTGAACTTGCGAGGAATGTACCAGAAGCGGACGTGAACATTGTTATCGTGGAGTATCTCACTCTTGAGCAACAGGGCCTCCCACAGATCCCTATTCTTCACGTGTTCGCCGGCGCTTGTTCGCCAGCCCTTCTTGATCCACGCGCGAGCCCAGTCGGTGGCACCGTTCACGACATAGCTTGAGTCGGTGGCAATGACGATACTTTTGAAGCCCTCACCCCACCAGGCCCTGAATTGGAGCGCGGCGAGGGCGGCGCGCAGCTCGGCGCGGTTGCTGGTGTGGCGGTATGTCTGGCCGTCTGGTCCCTTGTCCTCGAGCTTGAAGGCCACACACCCGCTCTCGTCATTGGGGAGTACCGGCTTGAAGATGAAGGCGGAACCACCGCGGGCTGCAGCGTTGCCGTTGTCAAGACAGGCCCCGTCGGTGTAAATGAGAACTTCCGAGTCGTCGTAGCGATTGATGAAGCGCACAACAGATGGAATAGCTATCAAGGACTTTTTCGGAAGGAAGAGTTCTTTGGGCTCCAAAGGCGTACTGGTCTGCGGGTCATGGTGCGGGTTGAATTTGAAGGGAAACAATTTGCCGGAGAATTCACTGCGGCAAGAGACAGATGGGCTCAGAGTAGGTGCCCCGAGAATGATCTTCGGGCCTTCTCCCATACCAAAGGTGGAGATCACTTCATCGTCGTCGATGAGGGGCGGCGGACCATCGCTGTCGTCGTCATCTTCATCATCCCAAGTAGACTGGACATGCGCTGAGGATCTCCGAGATCCGCTCGCAGTGATTCTCTCGGGACGGCCATATCGGCTATTCGCAACCTGAGCGAAGCTGACATCCCTGGGAAGGCGAGATTCGTAGTTAAAGCCAAAGATTTCTTCGTCGTCCTCTTCATCCTCGTCCAAGTAGTTTCCGTCTTCGTCGTACTCGCAGTCATGGCTGAAGTCAAGACAACAGTTTCCGCAGGTGACCATATGATGAGATGCGCAAACGGTAATTGTTCGCCCGTTGGGCAGCTCAAGATAGTCGATATCCGGCCAGGTCATTCTGCCCTGCAACCAAGACAATGGGCTGAGAATGAGTGGTCCAATAGTGGTGGAAAAAGAGGTGAGGTCCGCAAGTCAGGCAGCGTGAGTTTCCTAGTTGAAGATGGGAGCTCTAGGTTCTTTGCACTCGGGTTGACTGGGCAGAGTTAAGCTTTATGAAACCCTGGGGAGAACCTGAGGTGCCTTCCCGTTCTACCAAAGTCAAGGGAGGCAGGTGCAAATTAGTGGTAGCTTCCTGAACCTTCCCATCTTCATCAGCTCGACCTCACTTGCCTCGAGTAGTTCATTACTATCTGTAGTCATTGAGGCAGGTAGCCTCTGGAAAGACTCCTTACGTTTCTGGTCAAGTTTTGACGTGACATCCCGTTCCGCTTCAATCGGCGTCTCGTCCATCCATGGATGGAAAGGAAGATTGGTGAGAGAGCAAGAACAGAGAAAGAGAAATATAATAACATAAGCCATGTCGTTGCAAGCTGCCCGCCCTGGCTGTGCTGAACACTGCGTTTGTCATCCACCTCACCTGAGGGTGTTAATAGTTTCAGAAGAAGCTTCAACAGAGCTCATGAACTCCTTGCACAAAATTTAATGGTAGAGCTCCTTTGTGTAGCTTGCTGTTCCCCATATCCCGCAGGGTTAGAGAGACTACGGAGTGTAGCGTAGGAAGCACGGGTACTGTGTAGGGCCACATGCCAATGGAAGTTACTCTTCAGATATTACCACGGAAAAGCTTGTGACAAGTTCGAACCAGTTGGAAGCACAATAATGCCTCCTGCACATGATAACTCATAGATTGAATTATTTCAGCAGCATGGGTATATTGACAGTTTCAACAGAAAGCATGGAAACGAAAGTACATTGCAGCTGCAAATGATGGATTCAGCTGCATTCGCAGGCGGCGCACTCAAAACACCCAACCACCGCAGGGGATATCCATCCCCCATAAGCCAATATATAGCCATGCCTAAAGCCAATTGAAAAGCACCGCAATAATGAAGGTGAAACTTTTTGTACACTCCCGCCCTCGATCAGTCACTCTCATCAACGTCCATCGACTCCTGGGCGGCCCTCCCACGGGTGCTTCGCGCTGACGTCCTCGTCGCTCTCGGAGCGGGCTTCTCTTTGGCTGCAGGTCGGGCTGGCAGTTTAGTCTTAGCCGCCGCTTTTGATGCTGCTGCCGACCTGCCCTTTCGCCCGTTGGATTTGGGCGGTGGCGTAGCTTCTTCCGGCTCTTCCTCGTCGTCTGCTTCCACTTCCTCCTTCTCTGGTTCCTCTGTCGCAACGTCCTCAACCTCGGACAACGGCGAATCATCGCCGCTGTCGTCCGCAGCAGCTGTCGCCTTCTTAGCCCCCTCGCCGTTTTCTTCCTCTGGGGCTTCCGAGAGAACCGAAGAGTCATCGTCGTCATCTGACACCTCCGTCTGTTCTCCATCTTCATTCTCGTACGTCCACTTACTGACACCGTCCCACATCTCACGGTCGTCATCAGATGAGTCGCGTTCGGTGTATTTGGATACAGCAGTGGTAGCAGCACGGCCGCTGCGTCTCCGATTTTCCAGGGGAATGTCAGATTCGCGGCGCGGGGCCTTGACCTTGGCGGGCTTCTTGACCTTCTGCTTCTTCGGCTTAGGTTCCTTTGGTGCCTTGGGCTCCCTGACCCTCGGGGCTGACCTTGCCTTCTTAGCAGGATGGTGGTCTCCACGATCATCTGTAGACTTTCTCTTCTATAATTTTGTAAGCTTAGAGATCGGACAATGGGGGGGACAGTGTCGGCTTACCTTCTTTCGATCGATCGATTTGAACAGACCGTCCAATTTCTCATCAATCTCTGACGGCAGGTACTGCTTCTCAGCAATCTCCTGGGCGACCTGGTGTGAAGGCAAGGCAGTGTAGAGGCCGATCGGCAAGCCGACCTTACCCGGGTACGCTTGGAAACTCCAATTCTTCCTCTCTTGCCATTTCCTTACAACGGCCTGGGCCAAATCGCTGACAATGTAAAGATTCTCGCTCGCCTCCGGGCTGATCGCATCACGAGTCTGCTTCACCCTCTCGGCGTACTTGTAGATGAGTCCCAGATTCTCTTCCGTTGCCACATTTGTGAGATAGTACAGAATGTAGCGGCCATGGTCCGCTAGGTCACTGGCGTATGAGCTCAATTCCTCTGCACTGGCATCATCGATATTCTCTGGCTTGTTGAAGTCGGGATGGTGAGACAGCAAAGAGATGAGTCGTCCCATGATCGCCTCCATAGGGTGCTGTTCATTCGCTCCCAATGCGCGAGCCCGGGACCGAATCCAGGTCTCAACGCGCTGCTTCAGATCGTTATTCGGCTCGAATGCCGTCAAGAAGATGATGGTGTAGAAGCGTGCCCGAAGCTTGTTCTGCACAAGGTACTTTTGGAGCTTCTCGATGAAACCCCGGCGAACATTTAGTTCGGTATCCTGCGCCGTGAATGCGAGACGGTTGAAATCGGCCGGTGTCAGGAAGTCGTCGAAATGCTTAATGGTACATAGCTTCAGCAATAGCTGAGCTGCCAGCAGGCGAAGTCGTGACTTGTGGTGGTTGGGAGTATCCTTCGTCTTGCAGAGCTCTCCTCTCTTCGCGACCAATGTCTTGAGCAGCTTGAAGACAGGTACGGCCTTCTCTTTAGCCTCTTCGACATCGTCCATACTGCGCAGTCGGTTGACGAGAATATGCAGTGACAGGCACTTCGCTTGCAATTCCTCATCCACGCTGGCGTCATCCACCCACTCGGGGTCTTTGTCTGTTGCGTCTGTTCGGACCTTGAGCAAAATTTGCTGCACCGTCATGTTGAGGATGTCATCATCTGAATCGAGGGTAATCTTGGGCACTTGCAATTCCAGCTGTGCGACAGACTGGAGCTTGTTGAGGAAGTGCGCTGAGCCGTAGGTCCAGTCTTGCATAATCTTCTCCAACAAGCTGGTTGCACTGACCAGACCCTTGTCGTCGCCCTTGGCTAGGAGAATCTTGATGGCATACTTGGCAGACTTCACAGGCCGTCCGTACAGAGCGTAGCTAACAAGCGCCTGTGAGAATTTTCGGTCTTGAGGAATCTCTTCTGGGTACTTCTTCGAGTATGAAGCACAAGCTTTCAGGGTATCGACAACGTTGGAATCGTTCTCGTTGGTCTCTGTGGGAGCTTGCTCGATGAGACCCTTGCACAGCCCTCCCACGTGAGTCTTGAAAAGCTCAGGGTTGCGCTGTGAGATCTCGTTGAGA